GCTCGGGCCTGTGCGAAACCCGCCACCTCAAAAACCTGCAGTGTCTTGTGTCTGGACCTCTAGGCCATGTCCGGTGAGGTGAAAGGACACTTAAAAATCACCCCGTTATTTTTTGAGGGGCCGCTAGGACCCGACAAACGTCCTGGGCCACCCCTTTTTTTTTTTTTTTTTTTTTGCCCCAGGGGCCTCCATCCAGACATGGGGACTGGACACCGGACACCGGACTGTCAGGTCCGGACGTCCGGGCGGTTACCATGAAAAAAACACAGAGCAGATTTTTTTTAATAAATAAATCTGATGAGAGATTGTTTCGTCGGAGTTGCACCGACTCATCAGGAGGCTGAACACTGGACAATCTGCGGAATCTCTGTATTTGATGGTTTGGGTCATGAACCCCTTAACCATTGTTGAAGGCAGACTGTCCCCAGGCAGAGCATAGCAGCAGGTAGCAACCCTGCGGAGCACCAGGCAACACAGTAGGGGCAACACGGCTGCACAACGCCAAAAACGAGTGCAAGGAACAACATGGCACGCAGGACATGCAGCGCAGCAACCATGTCGTGAAGCGCAAGGCAACACAAGCAAAGCAACCACACTGCAAGGGACGACAGGGGAAGCGGACCAGCAGCTCGGCGACCGTGCAGCGAAGAACAAGGCACCAGCAACAAGGCAACCAACCTACAAGGAACACAAGCGGCAAATACGAAAGGCACGACCAGCGGATGGGCAGCAAGGCAGCAGCGCAGCGAAGCACAAGGCAACACGAACAACACGGCCACACCACACAGCGAACACATCAACTTGCAGAGAACCACATGTGAAGCAAGCGGGACAGGCAGCAAGGCAGCGGCGGAGCGCAGACGAGGCAGTCCACACATCCAACACGGAGCAAAGCGGCACATGACCTACTCACATCATGATTGAACCCCGCAGACTGTTGGTTCACCCACAGGCAACACATACATCCTGAACCAAGCGCCCCCCCTAAGAGTGTTGTAGGCACTCCAGACAAGGAATGACCGACTGTTTGGCACTTCTTAAAGGTGCTCAGTTGGGCACACAAAAAGTACTTAGAAAAAATCGGAGGAAAGTCAAATGACAGGGGGAAGACAGGCAGGCATAAAACTGATTGTGTGTGTGTGTGTGTGTGCACGTGTTATCAAACAAACAGCCCAGTAATCGTAGGCAGAGAGGGAGAAGAGGACAACAAAGGAGAGGGACTGTGACCGACTGTTCCGTTGGAGTTTCACCAACTCCTCAGGAGGCTGAACCCTCTACAGTCTGCAGAAGCTAACCAATGATACTGAAAGTGACAATCCACCTTAACCCTGGTTATGGTGAAGCATCAATGACTATATAGCCTGTTTCTCTGTGCGTCCGGGCAATTTTTTTTTGCCCAAACACACGCCAGGCTGCCCGGCCGGGCAGGACCCCCGGGCAGGGT